TGCCTTGTGTTGGCCAAGTCCTTCTGTCGGTCCACCAATGAATTTGACAAGTTATGCACAAATCCTCCAGCCCTCTAGGCTTCTACCCTGTACATATAGATGTTGGGGGGGGGGATGGTTAGAGGGTGCATTGAAAGTTGCAGACAATAATGTGGACTCCTTTCTCTTTTATTTTCCAGTAGGCTCTCTGAAGTCCCTTCACTCACCTGTGTACTTTCCCAGCCAGCCTGGGATGGGTAGACAACTTCTTTCTGCTACTCTGTGACTCCCTGATTTCCAGAGTCTCCATGTTTCATGTCTCTCTGGGCTGCTACCCACCCAGATAGGATTTGCAAACCCAAGCTAACCAAGCTGCAGTTTTTTCTGTTTCCTACCAGGTGTGTGCCTGTTAGCGAACAAAGTGTAGGATCTTCGCGCTCAGACCTAACCTAATTCTGAGTTTCTTCTGGAAGAAAAGCTGCTGCTTGTTGTAGCCAGCTCCAAAATGGGAAAACGACTTTCTCACTGGCCAGGCTGGGGAAGGGCATGGAAGAACCTCTAGGCAAGAAGGCTAATGACTCCTGCCCTTTTTACTGAACTTCTAGCAGTTCTTCAAGAAGAAATGTTTCTCAATGACATGTTTTCCTTTGGTCCTGAAATGGTGGTTTTATTACATTTGCTTAGTCTTATACATGTTTACACAAGCAGCTCAATCCAAGCCTTGCCCCATTTTTGATACGTATCTTTTATCATTATTTTAAAATATATATGCGTTACTGCTCTCCTCCTTATGACAGTGATTTATTTTTAGTGCTAAAAGGAGACATAGATTCAACAGTCACCGCAGCTTTTATGTAAATGTCTCTTGAGTCCAAAGAGTATTCTTTTGGAGAATCCTCAGAAGTGCTCATGGGAGCAATATTCCCTGAGTTCTTACACATGGCATGAACAGGGTTTATGTAGTCTTTATATTAAAAGGCTAATTTTGCTGAATATAAAATCCCTAGTTCACATTTTCTTTCCTTGAGTATATTAAATATGGTGCTACATTATTGTCTGGCATAAAGAGTTGCTGTCAAAAGCTAAAAATCCTATTTTCTTTCCCCATAACTGACTTTTAAAAAGTACCATTATAATAATGTGCTTAATGTCTATTCTGAGCCGATTTTCCTACTTTTGCGGTATAATCTTTCAATATGTAGTTTCTAATCATTATACTTTAAGAAATTGTACTTGAATTCTAATTTTTAGTATTTTTTCCTGTCTACTGCTTATGTCATTCAGTGACTTCTATTATACATGCTTTTAATCTTCTTTGCTTATCTTTTTTCTTTTATTTTAAAATGTATTATTTATTAATTTATTTTAAAATTTCCCTTTATTCAATTTTTAAATTTCTTTCACTGCAGTAGCATTTGGGCTAATATGTTCTTGTTTTTCTTCTAGTTTGCTCTTAACTTCTCTTTTAAAAAATATTTTTAATGTTTATTTATTTTTGAGAGAGAAAGAGTGACAGTGTGAATGGGGTAAGGGCCAAGAGAGAGGGAGACACAGAATCTGAGGCAGGCTCCAAGCTGTCAGCACAGAGCCTGATACGGGGCTCAAACTCACGAACTGCGAGATCATGAACAGCCAGGCACTCTTGCTCTTAATGTCTAAAATGAGTTATTTGGAAATAATAGGTGAATTCTCTCACCTACCTCTGCTGTGCTTCCTTCTCTCCAGTTGACTCATTTACCAGTCTTGCTAAAATTTTTCACAGCTCATCTCATTTTCCTTATTTCTTTTACCTCAGTTTCAATTATTAGGCTATAGTTTTTATTTATTTTGAAGTTGTCTTGTCTAACATGCTGTCAATGGTGCAGGGATGTTTGTTTATTCCCTTTCCTCTCTTTTCTTGTAGTATCTTTACATGCGATTCTATCCTATCCTTTTTCTGTTGCTCACGCTTAAGGTAAACGCATGCTGATTTGTGCCCTGGAAGGGAGGGCCAGGTTAGCTTTTCCAGGGTCTTCAGTGCCTCTAAAGCCATCTCGTCTGTTATTTTCAGGGTAAATAATATTCCATTGTACTTTCTGGGATATACTTTCTCTCCTCCTATCCCTCACTTTTATCTAAGTTGCCTGTTTGCTTTCTCCTATTGGACCTGTCCTGTTTATTCTTTTTTTTATAATTTTTTTACATTTATTTATTTTTGAGAGACAGAGCACAAATGAGGGAGGGGCAGAGAGAGAAGGAGACACAGAATCCGAAGCAGGCTCCAGGCTCTGAGCTGTCAGCACAGAGCCCGACGCAGGGCTCGAACTCACAAACTATGCGATCATGGCCTGAGCCAAAGTCAGACACTTAACTGTCTGAGCCACCCAGGTGCCCCTAGACCTGTCCTGTTTAATTTGGTTTCTACTCCCAGGGGTTTCTCCTCAGTATAGGGATATGTCTGAAAAGCACCCTCTGTCGCAGAGCTGACCAGCTTTTCCTTGTTTTCCTTGAAGGCCTGGGTAATCTGGTGCCTGCAAGCCCCTTTCTTCATTTCTGCTGCTGTTTTCAGATTAGCCCACATGTTTTTCTAGTGATTAGCTATTGCTTTTTGGGGGGGGGGGTTCTCTAGTTCTTAGGGGCATCGGAAGCCCAGTCGATTTTCCTCTGTTTCTTTCTGTTCAGTTGCTGATATCACCATGGTCTAGTGATTTGTCGCCACCTGTTAATGGGGATATATTGTTAATTGGTGTCACTATAGATATTAGCTATATGTTTTTAGCTTTGCTACTCTAATTGCTTTGTCTGCTTTTATAGGGAACGTCAGAAATACTTAAAAAGTTAGGTCAGTTGCATTGCCACCTTCCCAGAATCTGGATAAACTTTACAAAAGTTTAATACTTATATAATTGGTGATGGTCATTAAAATATAATTAACATATCAAGTGGATTTCATTTCCTTCTCAAATATTAGTGCTTAGATCATTCTCTGTTTAAAATAAATTTTTGTAAGTAAAACAGTTACAGAAAAAAGAAACAATTACAGTAATGTTAAGAATAAAATTGAATGGTAGTAATGATGTGCAATCGTGGCAAACAGTTTTGGTGGTGGCATAAAATAAATCCATGCTGAAGTAGTGCTATAGCTAAATTGTTTTAACCATAAAGGACAGGCTTTCTTAAATTATGGGGTTGGAATAATGTTTGGAAGCAGTAATGAAAAGCAAGGACAGCAGTGGTCCCATCTCCTAATCGTGAAGAAATAAGGGTACAGGAAAGTAAACAACCACTACTTGAGAATGATACAGGGAAGTTGTGGCCTAATGGGAAGGCCAGGTTTCAATTCAGGAATGGAGGAGGAAGGAATCATCAGTAACAAAGATAGCTACGAGAGATTGGAATATAACAAAATTCTAAAGCTAGATATAACATTACAAACTGAGAAATATCCCACTTAAAAAATATGCTGTTGATACTAATGAAAATACTCATATCCCATGATCCATTAATTAATCATACTTCAGGGAATTTATCTTAAGGAGCTGAATGGTCAGGGGAAAGCTATTAGTATAAGGATGATCCTTGCTAGATAGATATCATAGTTGAAACTAAAACCCCAAACTGAAAGAAGACACAAGCAAATATGTTGGAAACGATGAAACAAATGATGTTGTGTATAAATGACAGAATGACAAAAAGTCTCCAAAAATTTCAACCACAAATAGCTTAAGAATTATGCAGAACATTTTAAGGAAAAATATAGGAAACATTTGCTGCTTCAAAGGATTTCAAAGAGTGAGAAAACATATACATACAAACATGATGTATATAGATGTGGAAAAAAGAACATAAGATTCTTAGGATATTAGGACAATAGCATTCTTTCCATTTATAAACTGTTTTTTGGTCTCACTATAATTTAGTCACAAATGTGTATGTGTGTGTCTATTACTTTCCCCCAAAGAGGATATTTGGCTCAAATTACATTAAAAATGAAAATCCAGGGGCACCTGGGTGGCTTAGTCGGTTAAGCGTCCGACTTTCGCTTAGGTCATGATCTCGCGGTTCCTGAGTTCGAGCCCCGCGTCGGGCTCTGCGCTGACTGCCAGCTCGGAGCCTGGAGCCTGTTTCAGTCTGTGACTCCCTCTCTCTCTGACCCTCCCCTGCTCACGCTGTCTCTCTCTCTCCTAGAAATAAATAAAAAAAAATTTTTTTAAAAATGAAAATCCATTAACAATACTTCTTCAGAGTTTCCTTACATATTTTTCCATATCATGCTCTCTTTGGAGGATGGCTTATAAGGTCTAAAAAGACAACGAGACATGAAGGCAGTAAAAAGATCAGCGGATGTCATTTTGACAGGAAGGAGTGATGAATAGATGGAGAACTGAGAATTTGGGGGCAGTGAAACTATTCAATGTTATACTACAATGTTGAATACTTGTCATTATCCAGTCATTAAAACCCATAGATTGTACAACTCTGAGTGAACGCTAATGTAAGTAAACTATGGACTTGGGGGTGATCATGATATTTCATTGTAGTTTTATCAGTTGTAGCAAATGTACCACTGTGGTTAGGGATGTTAATAGTAGGGAACATTGTGCGTGCATGGGGAACAATGGGAACTCTCTGTACTTTCCACTCAATGTTGCAATGGAACTAAACGCCTCTTAAAAAAAATTAAATCTATTAGAATTCTTAAAAAAGACAATTCAAAGTTGGGTTATAAAGTTTTACATTCTAACTGATCAAGAAAATATGACCCGAAACCTAAAGCACAAATTTTGGGGTTAAAACAGAGGACTATATCAAACTGTGAGTTGGGTTCTTTGAGAGTAGTTTCCTGTAAATTTTCCGTGATTCTCAGCAGTTCCATTTTGCCTTTTGGACAATGAGGACCGTAGTGGGGTTTTGCCTTGTCATAGGTGTGCCCTGAGGGCAGATAAATCTCTATAGTAAAACTGCTCCTGTCCCTCTCATAAAAAAAGCATTTCAGAAACCAATCACATGTTCATGCCTTTTCCATCTATGTTTTGTTATAGTTACGCAGGATGAATGGAGAAGCGACCATATAATAGAAGTACAGATAAATCAGACTCTGGAAATACCATGCTTTCAAAATATCTCCTCAGAAATTTCGTCTGAGTTCACCTTTGCATGGTTGGTGGTAAGTGTTGCCCTTTTCAGTGAATAACTGCATGGGTCTTTAAATATTAATGACATGAAAATGAATAACAAGTAATAATAGGGAAGGAAGCACGAGGGAGGAGAGGCAGGCATTATGTGGAAGATGCCCGACTGGCGGGAGAGGGAAGGGAGGGCACTAAGGTTCCTTCTAACTCCGCAAGCCTCCAGGTCTGTGAATACAGTAATTTAAAATTTAGTTCCTAAAGGTTAGTTACTATTTCAAGCTATATACTGAACCATGATTACAGAGAGGAGAGAGTATGATGGCCTGGAGAGGAGCGCATCCAGCAGAAACCCCTTCTCACAAAGATTTGTTTTATAAACAACATGTACAGAGGGAGAAGCCCCTTTTCCTAGAATCCTTGCTGCTGCATCCTGGGGAATACACAGCATCTTCAGATCGGGAAACAGAACCGCTCAATGCTCGTAAGATACAGGCAGAAGGGGCACCTGGGTGGCTCAGTCAGGTGAGCATCGGCTCAGGTCATGATCTCATGGTTTGTGAGTTTGAATCCTGCATCGGGCTTTCTGCTGTCAGAAAGCCTGCTTGGAGTGTGTGTGTGTGTGTGTGTGTGTGTGTGTGTGTGTGTGTGTGTGCGCGCGCGCGCGCGCGCACCCCTCCCCCCCCACACCCTCTCTTTCTCAAAAATAAACATAAAAAAAAATAAAGATAACCATAAACACAGTTTTGAGAATCACATAATGGGACATTTCTTTAGATGGTCCAGAATATGATTAGAATAATTTTTAGATTGTCATCAAACACAGGTTTTAAAATTTTTTGCTGAACTTCTAGACCTCCGTGAATGTAACAGTAGATACAGTTTATAAAATACTGTGTCTGCATAAATGATAATGCATATTATAAGTTACCTAAATTTTTATGGGCTGTCTTGGAAACTAGACCCTTTCTATAAAGATTTCTCTGAGGATGTGCCAAACCCAAAATAATGGACTTGCAAGGAAGCCTCGAAATACAAACTACTGATGAGCTTTCACTGTCCAGGTATTTTTTGAATAGTCAGTAGGATGAAAAGAAAAAAAAATGTTCTGAAATAACTTTATCACACTGTTCTGAGATCTCTTTGTCATCCATCAAAAAATGCTTTTTTTCTCCCTTTATAGGGTTTGGTTTCTAAAATGTAAGTCTTCCTATCACTATGCCTATCATTAGAATAAATCAATTGTTCTTAACAAACATGGTACAGTGTGGTTTGCAGAAAAAAGTTGAAAAGTGGAAATGGACTCACGAGGGCAGGAACTGGCTCTACTAAACATTACAGCAGTGGAAGCATCCTATCTACACCTTGCTTGAGCTGTTCATGTGTCCCAGCAGCGGGCAAGAATTCCACTCTACGTATCACAAAGTTACTATCACTGGGTATAATCAAGTTTAATCATAACAAATAGTAATACAGTTTAATAAAGCATGACTGTAGAGATTTATACTGGCTAGTAAGTTGATCTATAGCATCCTTATCTTCTCTAAAGGGTGGGTCATCTGTTTTTCCAAGCAAGTGTCAATACTTCGGTCAGCCTGTATCTTTTGTGTGACTCTGAGCTTCTCCAGGGCAAAAAGCTGTGCCACTCATTTCAAACTCCCCAGCATCCAGTATAGTACTTAGAACACAGGCACTCGATAAAGACTGGATAAATAATGGAATGGATCTGTTTCTCTGTTTCTCTTTGTCCCTTCCCCTCACAGTCCTATTCATTGGACTCATGTTAAACTGATGGTCACTAAATTCATGCTGGCTGTTCAGCTGGTTAATGAGCAGCTCATTCGTTATCCATGACCAGATAACTTGAGAAGACACCTTCTATCTAGTAATTTCCTTCAAAGACATGAAGAAGACTATGCAGACCTTATCTCTGGATCCTGCCAGGACCTTCAGGATAAATGAGAGACAGAGAGAGGGCACCTAGGGTCACACAGGGAGGCAATCTTAAACTTCTAGAACCTCAAGCATGCTGTCACTTTGAAGGATGCACCGTGATGCAGACAACTTGAGGAATCTTTTTGATTTGAAGAAATCTCTCTTCAAAGGGAACATTGTATTGGCGAATGTGCTGATGAAATTCCTACTGTGCATTCCCTCTTTAAATGCAAAATCTATCTGCTCCTCTGGTTTTCATCTGTGCTCCACACTGTTGGCAGCTGTGGGATTCAGCAAGTCTGACATGAAATCATCTAATGTCCTCATATTAGGACAGCTCTTCAAGTCATGACTGTGACAGGTCTGCCTGACATAAATACCACCCCCCCCTTCAGTATTTAATCTCTTATTAAATGAGCAATAATCATCTCTTAATCTCTTGTTAAATGAGCAGTAATAATCATAATAAGCCAATTGTTCTTTAAAACATGCTCTCATGTGGCTTTTAGGAAAAGGTTAAAGACTGCAGGTGGTGAAGACAAACTGAAGAGTGTAACAACCTACTGGACTGAACTCAGTCGCTCCAGGAAGCTGCGAAGGGCTCCTACTTCCAAGGAAGGCTGCACGAGGCCCTGGAAACAATTTTATAAACAAGATTATTTTCGTCTAGGTCCCTGAAAAACCAAAGTCATGTCTTCTTGTATCTGGAATTTGATAACATCTCATTAATTCAGGATTGTCATTGGTATTCTCAGTTATCATTAAAAAATGATTTTTCTCTCTGTACCTGAACCTGTGCAGTGGCTGCATTAAATGCATCCATGGAGTAGTTTCATTGCATTTGGGGAAGTTACATTCCAGGGTGGTAACTACACTGACATAGAAAGGCATCAGATGCAAATGGTGTATCCAACACTGATATAGCATGAGTGGCAATTAACTAAACACAAAGGGTTGATCCATCCGTGGGCACTGAGCGTTTCCGTACATGATGGGATGATGAATAAGAAGTCAGAGGATATTTATGTTTCGATGGAGTGCAGTTGGTAGATAAGGGACAAGTAGTAGTTTCTCCGGTTTATGTCCTGGGGCACAAGTGTATAGTCATCCGGGAAATCCTGCAGGTTTATTCTGGGAGCTTCTAAATAGAGTCTAATATTCTGTTTTCATTCCAAAGTATCACCCTGATTTCTTACAGTATAAATTTCAATTCAGTCCTGCAAACATATGTGAATCTGTTTTGAGTGTTAAGTCCTGCAGGGATATAAAACGACATTGAATATGTTTCCTGCTATGAAATACAGCTTTAATAAAAATATATAAAAATGGCAGCATAGAGGGAGAATGGTTTGATTCTGAGTAAATGGACCTGGAAAAAGCTTCTTCGATTATGTTGGAGCTGGATAATTAAAGAACAGTTGGCCAGCAAAGCTCTGACACGGACAACCCTGAGATCTGGGGCCCGTGAGTACTAGTTGGTAGTGGCAGTGTAGAGAGGTGCTGAGGGAATGTTTGTTTCTAAAGTTGGTGAAGAAAGAGAAACCCATGACTTTACTCCTTAGGATCATGAAAAGAAGGAGAGGATTACATCAGATTCAAATAGTTCAGTATTAGTGATAAAGGCACAGGACTAAAACCTAGATGCTTATGTTTCTTTACGTTTCTATCTATAAATGCATCTTTTCAATATACTCTTCACTAATATTTGTGATGTTTTATGTTTAAACAAAAAGTGGACTGGCAATATAAACAATGTTGGCTTTCCATGCCTGTGGGAAGCCTAGCTATTCAGAAAATGAAACCGTCACCTTCTACCTGATGGCTGCTGACCCCAATTGTCTTCACCATAATCAGAAATAAAGTAGTAGCCAACCCCCAGAGAACTGGCAACCAATAGCAACGACTAGAAAAAATATTGTTATGGTGCTCTACAAAGTAGACGTGGAGAGCTTTGCAAGCAGTCTGCTTTGACAGCACTGACTCGGTGGAAAATAAATGGAGGAAGTGTGACGATAAGAAGCAGTTTGGAGATAAAGAAGCAGCGATCGATACAATTAACAGAATTTATCGAATGAGCTCTATACACTCAATGCCTGCCATGTGGTATGGTCAACGCAGCCAGGTCTGACGTGGAGCTCGGGCCAGCCCAGAGATGAGGTAACATCACTGAATCAAATAGTGCCAAGGCCTCTTTTCTGCATTGGAAATTCTGATTATAGTACAAAAACAGGAAAGCACACACAAATTATTTTAAGGTTTTTCATTAAGGTCATTAAGAGACATAGAGGAAGAATTTTTCATGATTCAGTACGACCCTGCCCAACCCTCATTGTGCTAATTATTTTGCCCAATTCCCACCCAAAATTTAATTATGCATTTATTTTTCTTCTGTGGGTCCTGATTTTTTTGTTTTTCCTGTGAATTTGTTCTTCTCCTCAAATAGACTATACGCAGAAAAGGCAAGGACTCTGTTCTGCTACTGATATGAGGCTGGATATTGCAGTTATTAACAGTGTGACTTTGGGAAGGAAATGGTTTTAAAATCCTGGCTCTTACCATTTACTCGCTGATTGTCATAGGAGCTAGGATTAGGGTGAAGTGAGCAAGGTCCTCTCCTTAGATGCAAAATTTTAAGGGACTGCCCCCCAAATCAGTAATTAAGATACATACTTTAACAAAATATTTTTTAAAATAAAAACTTAGAGGAGCACCTGGGTGACTTAGTTGGTTAAGTGTGCGACTTTGGCTCAGGTTATGATTATGCAGATCATGCGTTCGAGCCCTGCATCAGGCTCTGTGCTGATAACTCAGAGCCTGGAGCCTGCTTCAGTTTCTGTGTCCCCCCCTCCCCACCCCTGCAACCTCTCCTCCTTCCTCACTCATGCTCTGTCTCTGTCTCAAAAATAAGCATAGGGATTCTCTCTCCTTCTCTGTCTGCCCCTTCTCTGCTTGCACTGTTACTATCTCTCTCAAAAAACAAACAAAAAACAAAAACAAAAACTTTACAAAGTCATCAAATTTTTTTCTTTGGAAAAAAGGTCCATTTACTCAGAATCAAACCATTCTCCCTCTATGCTGCCATTTTTATATTTTTTTCTTTTAACAAGAAAAAAAAAGGTAAGATAAAGACTCTGTACAAGACCTCTTACCAGTCTGTTTTCAGCAGACAAGGTTACTTAAGAACATTATTATCATAGAGGATTTGAGGTATACTCTCTGATCCCTATTGCCAAAGGTAGATCACTATATCATAAAAGAGCTCCTTCAGTCAACAAATTGTCCACACCTCTGTAATCTGCAATTTATATAAAGGCCTCTGGCTTCCTGGGATTTCTTTGCAATACTCAGGAAAAAAAAGTTCTTTTTATTGTTTTGTGATGGTTTGGTTTTTATTGGTATGTGTTGTCTCTGAGGCTTACCTGTCCATGGCCCTGGGCATCTCTGCCTTTTGATGCCCTGAGTTAAGCACCTTCTTGCTTTGTTTGACCTTTGAGCAAATTACTTAACCTTAGTTTATTCCAGATTGTCATAGGAATAAATCAGAAAGAACTTTGCACATAGGAATAAATCGAAAGAACTTTGCACAGTGTCTAAAGCATAGTGTGTGCTGAATAAATTTAAGCTATGATTAATAAGAATATAAAACTTTTATAGTGAGGCGCCAGGGTGGCTCATTTGGTTAAGCGTTCGACTTAGGTCATGATCTCATGGTTCGTGGGTTCGAGCCCCGCGTCGGGCTCTGTGCTGACAGCTAGTGCAGAGCCTGGAGCCTGCTTCAGATTCTGTGTCTCCCTCTCTCTCTGACCTTCCCCTGCTCATGCTCTCTCTCTCTCTCTCTCAGAAATAAATTAAAACATTAATAAATTTTAAATGTAAAAGCCATATTAAAAAAACTTTTATGGTGGTTATAACATATTATTAGTATTATTTTCTCCTCTCCCAGCTCCAGACATTTCATTGTCTGCCTGGGCTCATCTTCTTCTTACCTCTTCTCCCATTTGCTCATTGAAGGCGGCCATTCACTGCAAATTCTTCCCTCGACCCCGTTTAAAACGCCTCCATCAGTTTAAACTACCCACACCCAGCTACATAATAAAGGAAAAACAGCTTTGTCTCCCTAGTTTCCAACCTCAGCTTCTGACTGCCTTTCTTCCCACTGCTAAGTAACAGATGGAAATGTTCCAAATGGGGAGTCATTTTCTAACTGACCAAAAAGCATTTTGAACTTTAAAGATCCTCACAAACACAGAGCCTGTGCATGAAGCAAGCGCTGTAGAAGTTAGCTGGCTGTGCAGACCTGCAGGGGGAGCCTGCCTCCTTCATTATTGGCCTCCAGATCGGCGGCCTTTGAGTGAACCGTGCCCACTTTCTTCTGTCACCACCCAACACACATGGCTCCTTTTAGGGCCCCTGTCTCCAGCATATAAGTTCTGTCTTTTTAATTTCCTATATGCTTCTTCATTAGGAAGAAAGTAGCACAGACTTCTAGGTCCTTCCTTATTGTGGGGTGAACTGTATGTCATTGTTTCAGGGTAATCTGGAGCAGGCTCTCATTGTTTGCAAGCTGTACCATCTATGTGTCTGTATGTAAAGCTGATGGCAATCTTAGCCCTAGTCACTTAAAGAATGCTATCGTACGGGTGGTTTAGTCGGTTGAGTGTCCGGCTTCAGCTCAGGTCACGATTTCACGGTTTGTGGGTTCGAGCCCCACATCGGGCTCTGTGCTGACAGCTTGGAGCCTGGAGCCTGCTTCAGATTCTGCGTCTCCCTCTGTCTCTCTCTCTCTCTGCCCCTCCCTTGCTCATGCTCTGTGTCTCTCTGTCTCAGTAATAAACATACGAAAAAAAAAAAAAAGAATGGTGTCTTACATAAGAGTTTCTCCTAAGTATATTCTGGAAATACCTACATAAACTATTTAAAGTCTGCCTTCGCATTTCCACTGTTTTCTGCTCCCAGGTCATACTTGAATTCTCTACCTCTCTTAGCTTCCATTTCTTCTAATCTGAATCTGTCTAGTTTTGCTTTGTTTTGTTTTTTAACAGATTTAAACCAGAGATTCCAAGTGACAGATCTTTGTTTTCTTTATTGCGTGACTTCTCCACCAAATGCATTTCTGTTGATCTCCGTTCTCTCCGTTTCCCCTGATCTCTGCACATAATGATTGATTAATCTGTTGTTTAGAGTTAGACCGTGATTCTCAGACCTGGATCCTTTGAGGACCTTTCAAAAAAATGTTCCAGCCTGAGTTTCATCCCAGAACAACTGAGATAGAATTTCTAGAGGAGCAACCTGATGTGTCACAGTGTTTTTAAAGCAACTCAACTGACATTATTAAGTTACGTTAGAGAAGAATGAGATCATTCCCTTCCTCTACCCTTGGCCCATCAGGAGTCCCCTCGCCACCGGCCCTTAGCACATTCACCGACACTGACCAGCACGATGATTGTCTGGCGATCTTGTCCATGGCAAGTCTGGTATGGCAAGAAGAGTAGCAGCTTTTCTTCAAAACTGCAAGAAAGGATACGGAATAGAAGCACCAAGTGCTTCAGATAAACTCTGATTGGTGGAATTCCAATCAACATTTGCAATCTACTCTTTATGTGTCCTCTTTGAAGGTCGCATAGAAATAAAAACAGAAGGGCAAGGACCATGACTAGTAGGAGGTAAGGAGGCAAGAAAGTGCCTAGGGTACAAAATTCAAGGAGGCACTGACTCTCAGATACCCACCCTGCACTGATAAGGCCCTGAGAGTGAGTGCTTCCTTCAATTTTATGCTATAAGAGCCTCTTTACGTCTTCCTAGTCCTGGCCCCAGGACTAGGCTCCAGGGAGCTAAAGTGAGACCTTTTCTAAAGGAAGGTGGAAGGGAAAACAACGGTTAATCATCTGGTCCAGCTGAAGATTTAATAAGCAAAACGGATACGGCACATCTTAGCATTCAAATTCTTGAACTTTGGGGCACCTGGGTGGTTCAGTCAGTTAAGCGTCTGGCTCTCCAGTTTGGCTCAGGTTGTGATCTCACAATTCACGGTTCCAACCCCACGTTGGACTCTGCTAGCAGTGCAGAGCCTGCTTGAGATTCTCTCTCTTCCTCTCTCTCTCTCTCTCTTTCTCTCTTCCTCTCCCACTTGTGTGCTCTTTCTCTCAAAATAAGTAAACTTTAGAAAAAAATGATTCTTGGGGCACCTGGGTGGCTCAGTCGGTTAGGCATCCAAATTCAGCTCAGGTCAAGAGCTCACAGTTAGTGAGTTCCAGCCCTGCATCGGGCTTTGTGCTGACAGCTCAGAGCCTGTTTCAGATTCTCTGTGTGTGTCTCTCTCTCTGCCTCATCCCGACTCGTGCTCTGTCTCTCTCTCTCTCAAAAATAAAATAAACATTTAAAAAAAATTTTTAATTCTTAAACTTGAAATAAGAATTATGATCTTTCATTAGCCCCCAGTGCTGTGCCCTCCAAATCCCACTGCTGATATGCACCTTGTGGAAAGTTATGAAGGGGAAGTTCTAGTCAGAAGAACATCAAGTTTCCATTCATGTTAGGAGAGGGTGACTATAGTCACTGAAAGTCCAGTGTAATGATCTTTTCTCTAGTAACATACCAAATATCTCTTAATTTCAATTATTCATCCATCACCTCTATGTTTTACAAGATATAAATAAAATAATGCATGTGAGCAGCTAGTCTAGAACTGACATGATTGAATGCTCAGTAACTGGTAACTATTTCTTTCAGCAGGAAGATAACGGAACTCAGGAAGCAGGTATCACCCAAGGTCACTCCATCAGCAATTCCACACCATTTAAAGACAGAGCCCAGCTAGATACAGGCTATAAACTCAACCTCTCTCCAGTCCAAATCCACGATGATGGCCGGAAGTTCACCTGCCACGTTATGGTCAGACCTGGCAAAATCTTGAAGAGCTCCACCACAGTCAAGGTTTTTGGTAAGAGCTTCTGTTCTCTGGACTCGCTGCCATCCTTCTGTCCATTTCTCCTGCCTTGCTCTCCCCTGGAGAGAAAGTGCCCGCTCTCTGGAGAGCAGCCCCACAGGACAGCTCTTCTAGAGCTCTGTTGCCCTTGATATTGGCATTCACGTTACGCAGGAGGATAAGGGTAAGGAGTTCAAGAATGATGATTGAGCTAATAAAATAAAATCACACTGAAAGCCACAGATTGGCCAGTTTCCTGGTGACTACCCCTTATTTACAACTTTAATGTTTCCTGAGAATGCTGGAAATCTCTTTAATTATAACTGCCAAAATTTAATTACTGAGTTGTCTACTTGTCTCGGTTGCTTGCTGGAGTAAGGCGGAATAGGGACAGTGTGAGAAAAGGAAAATGATAAACACAGCTTCAAAGAAACTGCAGGAGTCTCCTCACCCCCAGCAGGGCCAGCTCCTCAGCAAAGGAACCTGCGGGTTGGCCCTCTGTCCCTGCAATCACTGAAGTGTGGAGCCGAGTGGAAATATCCACCGCAGCCCACTCAAATCTCACAGGCTCTGCGGGGAACAAATCTGGGGGAAATGTGAAAATTCTGTTTTGCTCAGTGATGCAAGGCAGTATTAATAAATACAAAACCCAAACCCGTGACTTTGGATCGTTCTCATCTTTATCCCTAAGAACTGTGATTTTTTTTTTTTTTACAAAGGCGTTTTTAAATGAAGACAAAGAGAAAAGCAGTGATGTGGATGAGGGATTAATTGTTTTTGCAAATGAGGGAAATGGAGAGAAAATAACTTCACAAAATCTGAGGGCACGAGCTGCTAGGTTTTCCTTCAGTTTTCTGAATGGCTGGACAATAATAATGTTTGTTTTTACTTGGAATCTTACTGCATTATTAAGAAAGATCGGAGAATTCAGGATTTTGAGGGAATTACTAACCCTGTAGTTCATAAGGATGGAGGCAGCTACAGCCAAGATGTTTGTAGTTGTTAAGTCTCTTGCTTGCAGCTCTTCCTATGTCTCTCTCTCTCTCTCTCTCTCTCTCTCTGGCTCCCCTTCTTTCCCTCCCCCTCCTTCCACCACTTTCCGGGGATGGGCTAAGAGGTCATTGATCACCCCTAATGATCAGGTTGCTTACGGAGCCTGAACAGTGCTCTGTGAAGAGGTGGGAAAGACTGTTCATTTCTTTCATCGATATCACTGTCGGCTCAGTCACTGGGGTGTGACTGTCTTCGAACAAACATGAAACTGACTCATCCAGCCTGACTTTCAGCAAATCAATGAAGGCAGCTCTCCAGGATGTGGAGAGAAATGTCAATTCTAAGCTGGGCAAACTATGTCCCATTTGACCAAGGGTCATTGCACCCCAACTTGATCCAACTGCCTTGTCAACACTTAAGCCACACCCTCTGTTTCTCTGTGGCAGAGACCTCTGTCTTAGTCCTGAATACTTTTTGCTCTTTCACATCTCACTCTTATCACCCTGCCTGTGTCTACATCTCTCTGTCTCTACTTCTCTGTTTCTTCTCTGATCTCCTTTCAGTGGATGCTTAAAAATATGAGATTCCGTCTGCTTGTTCATTAGATTTTCCCTGCTTCCTGGCTTTCCCTTTTATAGCAAATGGGCCAGCCAGGCTGTGCCTGGCCTGTCTCATCTAGTCCTTAGATGCTTTGTGTATGCCACCGAGTGTATATCCTAGTGGCCCTGGAATGGACGTATAATAATGGATTGTTCAGAAACCACTCAGCATTCCTCGGTGATATCTCAAATAGAACAAACCAAAAATAAAAACTTGAAACTTCAGAATAAATACCCAAGTGTAGCACAGACCCACTGCAGCATGGATGCCCCAAATCCAGTTTATTTCTACTCCCTGAACAACGCCTCCATCTCTGACAGTCCAGGGACCAGAAGTTTCTCCAGCTCCTTTGCTACTTCTTGCCCTCCTCTCACTAATCTTCTGGACTTTCCTTTCCTGAGCAGGGCGTCACCTGCCATCACAAGTTCACTCCTGCCCTTTTGTAACCCCTACACCTGATTGTCCTGAGCCTCAAAAAGAATGTCTCTCTAGCACCCCTGCAACTTCCAGTAACTGTTCTTTCTTTCAGGTCCTTCATTCCAATATTATCTGTTGCTAATATGAGGGCAGAATGGTCAGAATCCCCTCCTCCCGTTAGTGTTTCAGGGTCTATCTTGGTTTGGGTTCCCCAAAATAAAACACTGAGACAAGGATTTGAGTAATAATAATTTATTCGAGAAGCATTTATTGAGGGAATTTACTGGGGGAAACATCAGAAGAGGAGTCAGAAAGCCGAGGAAGGGAAGGAAGATAATGAAATATACACGATCATGCCAGTTACCAGTGTGGACTTAAGAGCTTATTCCCACCGGGGAGCTCTGGGAGAACAAACATCAGAGGTCTCCCAAACGAAGGCAAGGAAGTTGGGGTACTCTCCACCAACTCGCCATCTGTTATAGCCATTAGCTCACTAGACTTCCCATGTGCCCTACTTGTGGACTGAGTGTGCCCCCAGCAGCCCAATAAATCCTTAGGAGAAAGTCATTGGTATGCCCAACGAAAGGCCTTCAGCAGGTAGAGACAAATGCCTCTAGATGTAGTCGACACGGACAGCCTGTGACAGGCTGGCTCACACACAGCTTTGCTGCACTCAAGCACTGACTTGAAGCCACTTCAGTTCAACATAATGGACTCAACATCTACTTTGTGCTGGGCACTGGTAAGTGCTAGAAATGGAGAGATGAATGAAAATAGTCAGGCTTCAAGGCACTTACGGTCCCACAGGACATCAAAATCACTGAAATATCCTCTGATATTCTGTATTTTCCATGAAAATGTAAATTTCTTAAGGACAGTAAAGTTGATTTGTCCAACTTTATTTTGTAGGCATTTAGCATACAGCTGGGCACACAGTGAATGTTTAATAAATATTTAATGAATGATGAATCTTACACACACACACACACGCACACACACACACACACACACACGGCCAGGTAAGACAGCATTCAGTGCCACTAACTGTGTTTTATTTGCCTTTAAGCCAAGCCAGAAATCCCCATGATTATGGAAAATAACTCTACGGATGTCTTGGGAGAGGTGAGTCACATTAAAGCCTTTGAAAATCTACGGTATCATACGCCAAGGTGTGTTTAGTTACATCATTGTCAGAATATCTTCTCAAAGGACCTTATTCCTTGGCTTCAGCCAACTAATTGCTAGTGAGGAAGAAGAGAACCTGAGTTGATTCTAGAAGCCAAATGGGAATCCTTGCTTTCTGACTTAGGGCTCTCAGAACATGTGATCTGTAATCCTTAGTCCTTAAATTTTCTGGAAAAATCATCTCAATAGTTCACACTCCTCCTTAATGAAAATTGGAGAAGATAGTGACGGAAAGTAGGACAGAAAGCAGTGTGAATCCTTGTGTTAGAATGAGGCTTTTGTTCAGCTGCATTTAATTCCTTCTAATCCATTTCCTGTGCCAGCCCTCCCTATAGTCTTTATTTTGAAATAACAACAGGAAAGGTGCCCTTCTGTCCTCCTTCAGAACCCCGTCTGTTTCGTAGTCAGTAGGAGAAAAGGCAGGTAAAAAAGGAAAATAGAGTAGGGCTGTTTGACTTCAGTTTCGTGTAGGTCATTCCCAGACTTGAGTCACTGGGATCTGGACTCACTTGCCATCTCTTCTTGTTGGCTGTGACCTTGCCAACTCTTCTTGTTGGATGTGCAAATTAGTTCACATCTTTGTCATTAGTTGTTTCTAGCTATATGAAGAGGATAAGAAGAACATCTGCATATTGTTGTTGTTCTTAGGGACTAAGTGAAATAATGTATGAAAAGCTCTTAGGATGCTATATGGCATATATTAGGTGCTCAGTAAACATTATTACTGCTGTTTTATTTTTATGACTACTATGCGTGTTAATCAGTTGTCTTGGGGCATTTTGATCTAATTCAAGCTTCTTGAAATCCCAAATAAAACAAATTTTCTCATGAACTCGCAAACATTTTCTGCTACATGAGATGAGAGAAAATTATACTCATGTTCTAATTTCTTCTAGTGTTGAGAACACTGAATAACTTATGATTTCTGATCCTGCTGAATACAAGTCATTTAATTTGACAGCTATATGCAAATCATAGCTCAGACTCTGTGGGATGGTTTTAGATGGGCATATATTTGTGCCTTTTGTTGATTTTGTATAATAGTCTCTTAGATAATTGCTGTTATAGTCCCAAGTATATGAACAAAGATTTAAATGTTTTTGTTCTTCCACAATTAATTCCAATTTTATTAGCGGACTTCGTTTCAATCATTTAAATAAAACTAACAACCTAATGGCACAATGTTGGGTAGGTATTTTTATTTCTTATAAGGATTTCCTATAGGTTCTTTATGCCAGTGTTTGCAGGTAATAAGGACTCAATCAAGATACAAAACCATAAGACTAGATCCAAGAATTCCAGTTAAAAAAAAAAAAGACTTTCTCATACATGTTATCAAATTTTTTCTGTACTCATGCTCAGCTAGGTGCTGACTAGGACAGTCAGAGAACCTTCCTTCCTGGGGAATTAGTGAATAATCTCTCACCAACTCTACATAACCAGCGACAGGACATGGCTTGTCTGTTGATCTTTTAAGATTCTGCCAAACATTAGTAATTTTGTACTCTAATATTCTCAGAGTCTCCATTGTATTTTTAATAGCTTCTTAACTCTTCAAAGTCCTTCCACATGCTTTTATTGAGTGATGCTCTCAGTGAGCCTCTGAACTAGGTGGGGCATCCATCATTTTACGGATGAGAAATGGTGGCCTGAACAGTCTACACAGCTGGCTGAGTCACTAATAAAGGGAAGAGCTGGGATGAGAATTTAGCATGCCTATAACCAGGTAGGATGATATAATGAAAGCAGACCATGGTTCAGAAGCAGAGAGAACTATATCAAATCCTATTTGACCATTTACTGGCTACATATCTTCATCCAATAGTTAACTTCCACGAGTCTCAACTAAGTCATCTAAAACTGGGATCAGCATTAATATTTCAGGGGACTCTTAGGTGAATTAAATTTATGCATAGTAATGGAGTACATTGCACGTAATAGATGTCTCAGGAATATTTCTTTCCTCCCCATTATCTATCATTCGGCTGCTCCCTTTCACCCATTTTTTTTTTATCTGAATATATATTCATAAGTCTCCTATGTGATTGATTTTGGGAGACAGTGTGGGATAATGAAAAAACAGAACATAGATTGTGGAGTCTGATAGACCTGGGTCTGATTTCTCCTCTATCATTTATTAACTCTGACCTCTGGAACCTCAATTCCTTAGCTTCCTCATCAGTGAACAGAGACAATGATCCCAACCTCTCAAGAGTGATATAAAGATCAAATAAGAGAACATGTGTCAAGCATCTACCATCTGGCAACCATAAGTATTGGCGATGGTAATTCACAGCCCTCCCCTCCATTTCTTAGAGATTAACTAGTTCAAAATGCACTTATTGATGCCTACTATGCACTACATATTCACTCTACCAGCAGCCCTTGGTGTTAAAGCAACAGGGATTTTGTCCGTTATGAGTTCTGTTTTCCAGCATTACTAGAGCAATGAAGTTTATGGTTAATTTGGTTTTCCTGAAAAACAGAAAAGCCCCCAAATTATTCTAACCATGATACGTCTTGGGTTTAGACATGCCAGGGATGTACAAAGAGAGTGTTACACCTCTGGATATCCTATTCTTGTGCATTCTGGGGGCAAGTCTCCACCCGGGCTCCAGCCTGGCATGCAGCCTCACCCCCTCAGCTGAGATGGAAGAGGAATCTTTAACTGAAACCTCAGGGTCCCTTCTTATAGCAGACACTGTATTCAAACACAAGATGCTGGCCCAAAGAGCTCTGACACCCTGGCCCTGCATAACCTGCTCTGATGATGTAGCAAAAGAAGGCACAAGAGAGATGTATGAAAACTCCAGAGTTTATTCAACAGTTTCGTCTTTCCACGAGCTAATATGTCTCTCTTTTATGCCCAGGCTTTCGGCTTTAACCCCATCTTCTCCATGGGTCTTGATCTCATCACTCTCTACCTTTATTATGTTTGACAAAAAAAAAATATATAAAGAGAACGACCCAACATGAAACATAGGAAACAAAAGTAACTGGGGTTAAAATGCCTGCAGAGGAAGAGAAGCTAAAATCATAAGAGCCATGTAAAACAGACCCATAATCTAAAAACACACATTACCATTCTATAGGATGGCTCTGGTGTCTGTTTGCAGATTTTGATTGTTGCTGCTTATTTAATTGTGGTTTTGCAAAGCCTGAATCTGTGGGTTCTTTGACCTTCTTAAGCTTCATTTCAAATGTTTGGGCATATGTGTGTTTAAGATTAGGTATCAGAGCTTCTTCCACTCCCTCCTTCCCTCCCACCTCCTCCCCTCCTTTCTTTCTTTCCTTCCTTCTTTCCTTCTCTCTCTCTCTCTCCTTCCTTCCTTCCTTCCTTCCTTCCTTCCTTCCTTCCTTCCTTCCTTCCTTCCTTCCTTCCTTCCTGGCATCTTATGGAATAATAGGCTCTAATTCCCAGGGTTCAGTCATGGGACTCCCAGTGGCCATCATCATTTACAGTGTTGAGAGTCCCCTAAGTTTTTACCTCATCTGGAGAGGGCCCTAAAAATGGCACCACAATGCTTTGGGAAACCACATGGGAAGTGAAATCTTTACTATCAGGCAAGTTTATAGAAAAAAAGTGGGGGGTGGGGGGTGGATTACAAGCCTGCAGTACAGTCTAGGCTTTTCACAAGCTTGTGTTTGGACTTGTGCTTAATCCACAAACAGCCCGCACGGAAGACAGATCTGGCTGTTAGAGCTGCCGAAAGTCTAAGAATAAGCAGTAAGAGGGAGCCACACAGGTGAAGCCGGAGGGAAACAAGATGTCATTACGATACCAGGATCTTGTCCACTTTCTGGGAGGCTGGTGCCCATGAAGTGCTTGGACCTATTTACAAGATAATGAGAAACTGTCTTTATTAGCCCTCATCTCCTCAGCTCCCACCACCCCTCACTCCACCCCCAACCCAGTAATAAATAGATGATAGATAGATAGATACATAGATAGATAGATAGATAAAGGTTCTAGAGGAATCATCCAAACTAAAAGTCAGCTCTAACCCAGAGGCCACAATCATTGCCACTTTGGTTTAATCTATTCTTAAGTAACCATATTAGGCATACCTTCAATAGCCTAGGACACTGTTCCTTCGTTTTGGACTCGTAGGTTCCCTTTGTTTCAAAGCATCTCTAAGTATTTAAAAATGAACATTTTTTAATTTTTAAAATATTTTTAATGCTTATTTATTTATTTTTGAGAGAGCGAGAAAGGGAGGGAGGGAGAAAGAGACAGCACACAAGTAGGGGAGAGGCAGAGAGAGAATGGCACAGAATGTGAAGCAGCCTCTAGGCTCCAAGCTGTCAGCACAGAGCCCAACGCAGGACTCAAACTCATGAATGGTGAGATCATGACCTGACCTGAAATTGGAGTCCTAACTGACTGAGCCACCCAGGCACCCTAAAAATGAATAGCTTTTTTTTTTTTTTTTTTAAGTCAGGGAACAATCGGCACGTAGCCAGCCTCTCAAAGGCAGGAGTAAAATCCAAAACCTACTGTTCAGATGAATGAGTGGTCTGTGGGGACAAAACAAAAGCAATTTAATTCATTAAAATTGACCTCAGAGCCTCAGAAAATGTTCTCTGCCCGTCAGTCTCCCAGACAGGCATGGTCTCTCATGTTTCCATGGTGAATTTTCTGGGGAGGGATCTGTCTCTCCTCTGCTATGTTCAGACTTCTCTATCCCTTTTTCTTTCTTTTTTGGTCTTCTGCCTCTGTTTTTTATTTCTCCTTACTCACTGCTTCTCTCCACCGTTCTCTTTTCCTTTCTGAGTTTCTCTCCTCTCTTCTTCATGAATTTCCTCTAAGAGACCTTAATATGAAATTAGATTATATTTTAAATATTTACGAATACGTTTTTACATCCTCTCTTCTTAATGTTTCTTTCGAGTGACCTGAAAAGTCTTTAATTCTCTCTGTGCTGAGTGTACATGAATTACGTGTGTGTTAGTTTGTTGAAAAGACAGGATTCAGACAGTTTCTGCTGGTGACACAGCTTTAATGTAAGCAGACGACACAGCACAGCACCAATTGGAGAAAAGACCTGCCTTGGATGGGTCCCGAGAGCTCAGGCTCAAGCTTCTCTGTCCTTCTACAGCCAGGCCCCACAGAACAAGCCCTGTACCCAGTTCTCGAATCATCACCAGTCTGTGTGCAAAGCCCTGGGTAGCCTCGTCTCTGCTCGTGGCGGGGTCTCTTAGAATGAGCTGGTCCCATAGGCACATTCCAGCTACTCCACCAGCCTCAACTGCCAGAACCCTCAGCTCCACTCACCAAGTGCTGGGCATAAATCCCATTAGTTTCACTCATCGCCACTGACAGGATGGTACCTTCTGCACCCAAACTCACAGACCCATGGTGGCAAAACAACATTGCTCTTCAGTTAATACATTTGGAAGTTTTGATCAGGACAGTGGCAGGGGCCCTGTCGGTAAATATTTGGTCAATTCAGACCCGCTGAGATGAACTCCTACTACGTACTCTTTCTCTGAAAAACAAAATGCTTTATAATTGAGCTAAAGTGGCTCTTTACTGGGAGCCTGAAGTCCGCGTCTTCAGAATAGAGACCTCGCAGGCTGATTTAAACAAAATGGAGAGGATGGGCCGCTGCAAGCTGCTCCTGCTCCCTCCGACAGGCTTCCTTCTCAGCCCTCGCCTTCCACTTCATCTCCAGGATGGCCCTTTCCACCTCCTCCAGGGCTCGCTCCCTCCTTTCCACTGCCCTCTCCCGCCATTCCACTGCCCTCTCCCTCCTCAGCACCTCCTTTTCCCTTTGGCTGGCCCACAAAGCCAGGGTCCCCAGCTGCCCCAGGAGTCGGGCCCAGTCACCCTCGATACCCGTGGGGAGCCGGGGGCCCTGAGACCTGGAGTCCTTGCGCTGCCCCGCCTGACCGTGGCCAGTCTTCTCCAGCTCCTCTTTGTGCATGCTCTTCAGATGCTTCCACAAGGCTGTGGTGCCCACGTTAACCCCTGGGCCGCGGCTCACCTGCCTGCCACAAAGGCGGCAAGTGGCATACTGGCTAGGGTGGTGGCCGGCACGAACAGGGGCCAGGTGGAAATACTCCCAAGCCTCAGAAAACCGGCACCCCTTGTTGTGAGGCATGGAGGCGGGCATGGCGCTCGCGAAAGAGCCGACCGCCTCTCCCTTCTCACTGCCTGCCTCTTCCTCCTTCATCTCCAGGTCTCCTTTGGCCTTCATCCTGGCTCCCTCCTCTTCCTCCTCTTCCCGCCTCATCCTGTCTCCCCTTTTAACAGCTTTCCTTGAGCCCGAAGTCTCAGCTGAACCACAGCTAAGGCAAAATGAGTAATTGGGAAGGGACTGCGGTTAACTCTCGGGGATTCACAACAATGGCCAGAGGCTGGCCACACCTGAGTGGTGTGATATTTCCTCCTTTCTGCTTCACGGGAGAGTCAGGGTGAGTCAGAGCCACAGCCACAAAATGGCCTCTGAGGCCCCCAGGTACATTCCCTCCAGGCCCCAGATATGTACTGATCCCTCCGTGTGTATACCAGGAAGACAAAACAAATTAGTCCAGAAATTGCAAAGTCCTTCAGTGAATTCAGTGTTCTCTGTATCAACCGCCACCATAAGTGTTTCTGAATATTGAAAATGTTAGGTTTTCTCCTGATACTCCTCCTGGCTGCTTCCAATGTTTCTGTGCTCCCGGAGGCCTACATGTGGGTTTTGGAGACTCTGAACCCTCCGGCTGCTCAGGAACCCCAGGGTTGGGGCCTCACTGGCCTTCCTCAGTATAGGCAGAGGCAAGCACAGAGAGATGCTGGTGTGAGACACACTCACACTTCCTAAGAACTGTTGGAAAAAGCAGTCCAGACACTGGGTAATAAAGTTCCCAGTGTGAGGTCAGTTTTCCCCTAGAGAGTTCCTTCTGGGGCTGAAATTCCAAGAATTCCAGCAGGCTTAGCTGTTTTCAGCAGGCGGAGCTGGGCGGCACAGAGGAGAAAGACATGGAGCACATCTCAACAGACTTGTTGCTCGTCGGTCCTCAGCAAGTAGCTTATACTCTGCCTCCCAGGGCACCGTCACCTGCAAAGCCAATAGCTGATAAGACCTCCCTGACAGCAGTTTACTCCACATGTATGGCTTATTCATTTAAATAAATGAATGGACAATTACACTTTTAAAAATAGCCTGATTTCTCCCTCCTTTTTGGAGTCATTTCTTAAGCAATTGAGAGCTTTACTCGTCAAGCTTTGCAATCCAATCCCAAACAGTAAACACTACCCGCGCCCCCCCCCCCCCCGCCCCGGCCCCACAGCCCTACAAGTGGGTACTTACAGGCAAGCAAGGCCCTGAGCTTGTCTCTGATGGCTTCGGTGCAGGGTGAGTGCTCCCACTCGCTATGAGTAGCTACTAGCTGACTTCTGCCCCCAGGAGGAGGGCACCTGCAGGCTCTGTTCCCTCCCACTCCCAGGGAAGACACCTTTCCAGGCGGGCATGCCTCTGCCTGCCCACACACAGATGCAAACGTTTCTCCGCACCCCCCTCCACCCCGGAAAAAGGATGTTCCTGGCAAGTGTTATGTAGTGAGACAATAAATCGAGCACCTACAAGTCTTGGTTCTGTTTCCAGATAACTAGATCATCTGGCCTCTGAAGCAAAGAAAGTATTTCGAGAGGGGAAAGGGTGAAGTTTCAGCAGAGAAACCACATGCCCCAGTAACATCTGTGCTTTCAAATATTTTGTCCATTTGTCAGACCATGAGTCTCAAGTTTTGGTTCGGAGACTCTGGATGTTGTAAATAGAGTCAGTAGAGAGGCCAAAGAAGCCACACGAAAGGAAAGAGAAAGAGAAAGGAATCCTCCCAAGTTGAAGCAAATATGACAAGTTGAGAAGCAAATTTGAGGTTGCTTTTTATTATATTATGTAACTAGCACTGGCAAAGTTGAAATGCAATTGGCTTCTTTTCTCAGTTGGAGTGAAATAAATGGTCACAACTTAAGCACAGATTTTAACATTTACGTCTATGCTATATTTACATATGTATATTTAGGAAGGAGAACCTACCAAGAGGAGACAGCAACATTTAAAGAGGGTGTCTGTGGAGGAAAAATCCTCAACTTATAGAAGAAAAGAGAAATGGCAGAGTAGAAAACATACTGAGACTGAAAGATAAATTTCAAATGAAGAAATAAGGTTGAGGGGAGGAAAGAACTCCAAAAAGAAAGGAAGAGTTGGTAAACGAATAGGGGAACTTTTTTAAAACTCGATTTCTCTTTCAAAACTAAAAAGTTAATTTTTAAAAAATGAATCTATGAAAAACCCTTTTGAAAAGGTTCTGCCCAAACTTAGGCAAACTAAATCTGGGCTAACTTACAGATGGGCAGCATTTCAGTATTTCCGCTGTGGAAATAACGAAATGGTCATTCTTACAGCCAGATTTGGATTCCCCAATCTCATCATGCTACAACCTTCTGCGGGCTTCCCTCTGCTCTCAGGACAATGTGCCCAACTCACACGGAGGCCTACGAACCCAACTGGTCTATCAATGCTTGTGAATTCCCCACCACTTTCCACCACAGACCACCTGTGGAATCCAGACCCATCCCTTCTCTGACCACAAAATATAACTCTGTTCTCTAAGTTATTCCCAGAATTCACCTTTCTCTGCTCTCCTACAGAACCATCCACATACTTTATGCCACTTCTTACATAATTCTTTGTGCTATTGCTCACATATTCCACGTGTACTTAGAAAAACGTGTTGAAGAAACCAATTCTTTGGCCTGCCTCATGGACGCGACAGCCACACAATAAGAGAGTGAGTGATTTTGACTTCCCAGCAGAAGAATGTACAGTCTGTGTGCACAGACTCTTGTGCATATATTCTTCATCATTTTTTTTTAATGTAACATGTTTCTCTTCTTATTCACGTGGAAGGTCCCAAACAGCGACGGCTTCTGCTTACACAGCAAAACCATATAAGTTTGATGTTTCATAAGAGGTTTGACTTCAGTTTGAACTAGTTTAGTCTGTGGCTTTTCAACTCCAGAGAGACTGGGAGGAGCTCAGGACAACAAGCACATTCTGAAATAAAATCTTGGAACACAGTCTGGAGGTGGTATAGAGTATTTGAAATCTGAATCACTCCATAAAATCTGAGTTCAGAGAATCCGCAAGAGTTAGAGCTTTTTAACATTTTTATTAAATTGAAAGAGACTTCTTCAGTGCATTGGTTGACTTTATAAGATGACTGAACCCCTACTTGTCCCTGATGTTACCATACCATTGTCTTATGGTGGGTTAACCAAGCATGGAGAAAAGGAGTCATGAGAGTAGTTGAAAGTACTGGCATTAATAAAAATCTTTACAACTTTTTTTTTTCCTTAACATGTTGTTTCCTGTAACTCTTACATCGCTTTGTGGGCCACTTGAAAATAAACATCAATCTTTGGCATCTTATTGGACTAAATAAATTGAGTTTTCTTTCCTTCACTAAATAAGAATATGTTTTAGATTTTACTTTTGGCTTTCCGGGACCAAAAGCGACATAATGTCATGGGTCTGTGTTCCTGCCGCATGCACATGTCCCCGTTGTCAAGTGTGGAATGAGTACAAAAGCTGGCAGCTACAGTGTTCACTGTCTGTCATTTTGGATTCCACAGAGAGTCATTTATGATTGCCTCAGGCTATTGGTAGTGCTGTATGGAGGGATGCTACACTGCCCTTCAGTAGGATCTTGCCAGAAACATGCTACTTTAGGATCCTTCACCTTGGTTTCTCAGCTCTGTGCAGGACCATACTCTTTGAGTATAACTAGTCTGTGAAGAAATTGGCACACCAAGTATTACATATAGTTCATTGTTCTTTACTAGTTACCTGGTAAACTCATCAGTTGTGGACAATATTTGAGAACTAAGAACAATGGCCATTCGTCTGTGAAATACATACATCTCTTGATGAGAAAGCAAGTAACTATACATGGGATTATAATTGTACAGTGTCAGGGCACCAGGGTGGCTCAGCCAGTTAAGCATCTGACTCTTGGTTTTGGCTCAGGTCATGATCTCATGGGATCATGAGCCCCACGTCGGGCTTTGTGCTAATAGTGCAAAGCTTGCCTGATATTTTCTCTCTCTCTTCTCTCTCTCTGTCCTTCCTCTGTTCACATGCACACGCTCTCTTTCTCTCTCTCTCAAAGTAAATAAGCATAATTAAAAAAAATTATGCAGTGGCATGTTTAAACGTATATTGAAATACAATTTTATAGTATCTCAGATAAAATAATGATAACAAGATCCAATCATTCTTTTTGGATATTTTCTCCAGGTTTTTTTTTTTTAAACCACCATCTTTCAAAAAGCCAATACAGTGTTGGACATAAAACATAACTAACCCTATCTATAAGCTACCTGTTCTATTCCTTTCATATTTCAGTACAATGTGTTTTACCAGAAAGTATCTTGTACTGGAACTGGGGCAACTTAGTTTTCAATTGTGCCATCAACTACATTCCACTCCCTTTAACCATTCTGTGGTTCTGTGCCTTGGTTTCCCCATCTGTCAAATGGCAATGATAAGTCATGTCCTACCCCACCCTAGGGGACTGTTAAGACGATACAATGAAAAATCAAGTACATAAACTCTTTCCAAGTCAAAAGTGAGATATTTACAATAATGGTCTCTGTGGTTGTTGCTACAAATAGTACTTTACATTATTTGGGGAATGGAAACAACTCATATTTGGGTATCTTAGCTTATAATCTAACAGAATATTGTTTTCTGGTTTGAGCTTCCTTGTTTGAGCTTCTTCGTTTTTAGTCTTTGGCTTCCATTTAGTATTATTCTGTTCTTTTTGGGTAGAGCTGTGATCTCCCTTTTCCAGAATCCAGAATCCAGACTTACTCTATTCCTACTAGTCTATTAGTCTAGTCGTAGTCCCATTAGACTAGTCCTAGGTTCTTCACAAGTTGACCTGTGCTTCCAGTCATGAGTTCATGACAGGTCTAGAGGGGACAGCTCACTTTTTCACATGAGCTCTGAAAGGTAAGCACAGCCTTGTTGTAAGTGGAGAAAATCGTTTCCTGCCAGTTTGCCTCATGTGACGGTTGGCGGGGATGTAAGAGGCCCCGGTTTCTTCTGAATTTGCAAATAAGCCTTTCTGTGTTCTGCTTTTTACCCCCAGAGAACATTTACCTGCTCCCTGAGGAATGTATTTCCCACGGCAAATCTCACATGGTTTATAGAAGGCGGCTTTCCTCAAGGTGAAGAGGAAGGTAAGGAAATCGGTCAATGGAAATGGATTTGGCAAAGAAAGAAAGAAAGAAAACAAAGAAGAATAGAAATTGCCATTTCCCGAGCTGATCTTGGCACTTAAGAACAATTCTCATTCCAAGACAAACATCATCTTGCCTACCAGATGCCATTTTCTGGTACCTCATCTAGTGCTCCGAAGAGAACGGTGGTGGGTAACGTTTCCAGAGTTAAGAAATACACCCGATTTCCTTAACTCGCAACTGTTACTCCACTGTTAGTAAAAGCAGATCTCTTACATGCGGGCCAAGAAGTTTAATTCAACATACACGTATTAGTAATTTCATTTAATTCAAATAACTTAGCACCACTGTGGCAAATCAATAAACAAATACGTTTTCTTGTAAGGATCTGAGTGGGGTGGGGTGGGGAAGCCTAGAGGAAGTACATATAAAGGACTGGGCTTTATGACAAGGAACCGCACCAGGAGGATTAAACATGCTTAGAGCAGGGACACACACCGAGACAAGCTCCAATGAGAATGCACAAAGCTGTATTTTTCGTAGGCGACAAACATGGCAGCCTGTGCCAAACCAATCCCAGCCAGCCCCCGCCTGGAACAGCAGCCCTTCTTCCTCTTGAGCCACGTTTTTCTCAAAGCTCAATATGTGTTCAACAGTAACTGAGTCACCTAGCTCTTGCTACATTATTTTTAATTGATAAAACGTTTATGTTGATGATTGATCGCATTGATCCACTTGATTCATTTTGAGACTATTCCTGGTTTTGTTATTCACTTTGAAAACAATTCACCCACACTGATGACCGGATGCAATCCTGAAAATCTCTCTTAAAGGTCATTGCAGATATGGTCTCCCGTTAAGTAAGCCCTGGTTTGATGTGCTCATTACCCTCCCCGACCATGAGGCCAGGCACTGTAGTCAGAAATCTACCACATTTAATTATTACTTTGGCAAGTAACGACTTCAAAACTAGCATTTAGAGCCTTTAGTGTACAGAAGCCATAAGAGTTCAGAAAGTTCTGGCCTACAGTGACAGATGGTTTTACATTAATTTCCTGCTGCCGTGCATGCTATTTGGAGGTTGTACTAACAGTGGCAGTTAAACAGTTTCTATTTCTAAAAGAGACTCACAGGACTCAAATGACAATGGCTATAAATCTACAGCTTATTTCAGGAGAAGGACACAGTGGAACACCGTTAAAGTAAGGATATGCATCCCATGTATAGATTTACAGCAAGAGGGCCAGTGAAATCCGACATGGGCTCCTATGCAAAAAGGGGACCACCAATGTGACACAGAGCACCTCAGAAGCAGGGAGCCCCAAATGGAGTCTTGGCTGAAGGTGTTTTATATTTTACTTAGGCGTATTCCTGCTATGAAGCCAGACTCGACCGCAGAGCCTTCCCAGATTCTAGCCTGGGCCGGGTGCAAATCATCAATCTCACCGTTTTCGATAAACAATAAACAATGCTGGTGAGCTAGGACAACTGGCCCCAAGCCCCTCAGACCCGTGGTCACCAACAAAGCAATGCTATTAATCAACATATCCCATACGTGGCCCAGAGATCAGTGCCATGCAGGGGCTTGAGCAAAAACAGTTGACGTTAACTGCAGACCTGCTGGACAGGCCCCTACAGCACAGAAGCTGTGGCTTGACCTTTTTTTTTTTTTTTTAGCATTAAAATATTCTTTCTTTCTTTCTTTTTTTTTACAAATAGTTTATTGTCAAGTTGGTTTCCACATAACACCCAGTGCGCATCCCCACAAGTGCCCTCCTCCATGGCCATCCCCCCCACCCCCATCCATCAGTCCTCAGTTTTTGTCAGCATTCAAGAGTATCTCATGGTTTGCCTCTCTCCCTTTCCCCCACCATTTCCGCCCTTCTTCTCCCCCTTGATCCTCCGTCAAGTTCCTCCTAATCCTCCTATAAGTGCAAACATATGATATTTGTCCTTCTCTGCCTGACTTATTTCGCTCAGCATAACGCCCTCAAGGGGTTTGACCATTTTTGACTCCGTGTTACCATAAACTGAACCATTCCCAGCCATGCCTTGCCGTCACTGTATGGCTCGAACAGGAAACACTGGTGACTGATCTTGTTCTTAATCTGTCTTCTAGAAGTATACATTACTAATGAAGAGAGAAAAGACAAAAGTGGATTTTGGGAGCTGAAGTCTGTTTTGAAAAGGGGGTATGGTAATAAACCAGCCCAGTCCAACAACCTGACCGTCTGGTGTATGGCTGTGTCTCCAGTCCCCGGAAATAAAGTGTGGAATATCTCATCTGAAAAGATCACTTTTTCCTTGGGTGAGTTGTCTATTTAATAAGGTCAACAAGGGGTGGCCAAGCCTGCCATAAGCACAGAACATTTCTAATTAGAACAAATAGAATACTCATTATTCAAGTATTCCAATCTTGAAAAACTCTTTACCCAACTCAAAATTACTGAATTTCATAGTATCAAGCCTCTTTTGATGGGCAATTTAACTCTGCTTAAAAGAATTTCTTCCAATAAAAAGTAGATGATTCCTGTTTCTAAAGAATTTCTAGTGAATATGGCATTTTTGCCAAATTTCGTTAATAATAACTTTTTGTTAATCTACCACATAATGAAAATTAACACTAATATATTGATGATGAAGAGAGATTCTTAAAATCCTAAAATCTCTTCTGAGTCACTAAACACCTTCAATTACATAGAGCATTTATAATTTTAATACTTAGGAATGGATAAACCATATATGAGATATAAATAGCTTGAGGATAAAGATTGTATCCTAATGATTTTAGTGCCCCTAAATTGAAGCACGGAAACTGGCATATAGAAGATTTTTATGATTTGAAAATTGATACGTAGGATCATTCTACTTATTTACAGCATTTGATGAACCAGAATGTGCACTACTCTAACCTGACCAAATAATGGAGATTTTACTACATAAAAGATGTGAACAAATGTTTCAACAAATGCAGTGACAACAGATTGCCTATAAAAAAAATAGAAGTTTGTAATGACAACTATCAAACATGCATCTATAACAGCAAAGTAATACTTAAACAGATTTGTTAGCCATTATCACAACTCTGCAGGACCATTAACATCTTTTACCACCTTCCTATTTTTCAGAGAAATTGTAGTCTATAACATACTCATAAAACCCAGGGTAGTTTATAAAGGAAAGTTCCTCTTTGTTTCAAGGCCAGTGTCTGCGTCTTGGGTCCTACCCAGCCATTTCATCAATGCAGTCATTTGGTTCCTGAGAGCCTTGGCAGGGAAGGGTATGCGGCTCAATGCAAATCCATTCCCTTTTTCAGAAGTCGGTGCCATTCTGAATCTGGGACAGTGGCATCGTGCCTGTAATGTTGCCTGTGTATGTGTGTACATATACACACACAGACACATCTCCCTACGGACTTGGAGTTAATCATTCAGAAATGATCATGGTTTACACTAAAACATCCATACTCAATTATGCCTAATTCCCGCAAAAAGAAATGCACCTCCTTTCTAGAAGGCTGGGCACAGGCAAGGCTACGGTCTTGGAACAGGGTAAAGGTAACTGGTTCTCATATAGATTTGCCAGGAACTTTGGCAGACCTTAAGGATATAAGCTAAAGGCCAGACAACCTCAAATTCCTATGGAGAACCCTATTCCCATCACAGACGGAACTATATTTGAAAAAACAATATTTTCTGATGTTAAAACTGAGCTTTTCTTGATGAAAAAATTTTATTTTTTAGAGCCGTTTTAGGTTTTCAGCAAAATTAAGAGGAACGCATGGAGACTTCCTGTATGCCCTCCCACACACAAGCGTAGCCTCCCTCATTATCAGTATCACTCACCAGAATATGGTTCATTTGTTACAAACCTATCCTGACACATCATAATCACCCAAAGTCCATAATGTACCTTAGGATTCACACTTGGTGTTGTACATCCTATGGGTTTGGATAGATGTATAATGACATGTACCTATCATTATTGTTTCAAAAGGCCCAAATTTTCACAGCACTAAAAATCCTTTGTGCTCTACCATTCATCCTTTGCTGTTAAAAGAATGCCATTAGAAGGATGGATATCCCCTACCCCTGGAAACCACTGATTATTTTTAGCCTTTACAATTTTCTCTTTTCAGAATGTCATTTAGTTGGAATCACACAATATGTTGCCTTTTAAGATTGGCTTCTTTCACTTCATAATATGCATTTAGGGTGCCTCCATGTTGTCTCATGGCTTGATAGCTTATCTTTTTTTAGTACTGAATAATATTCCATTTTATGCATGTACCGTAGTTTATGTATCCACTCACCTACTGAAAAATGTTTTAGTTTGGGAAATTAGGACTAACGCTGCTTTGAACATCCATGCGTAGGTTTTTGTGTGGGCAAGAGTTTTCAATTCCTTTGAGTGAATACCAAGGAGTACAATTAATTGCTGGATTGTAGATAAGAGTATGTCTAGTTTTGTGAGAAGACACCAAACTGTCTTCCAAAGGAGCTGTACCATTTTACATTCCCACCAGCAGTGAATGAGAGGTCCTGTTGCTCCACAGCCTCACCACCATTTCATATTGTCAGTGTTATGGATTTTGGCCATTCTAATAGGTGTATAGTGGTATCTCGTTGTTTCAATTTGCATTTCTCCGACAACATATTATGTGAAGCATCTTTTCCTATGCTTATTCGCCCTCAATATGTCTTCTTTGGTGAAGTTTCTATTAAAGTCTTCGGCCCAATTTTTTAATCAGGTGGGTTGTTTTCTTACTGTTGAGTTTTAAGGGTTCTTTATATATTTTGAATAATAGTCCTTTACCAGATGAGTCTTTTGCAGCTGTTTACCTCCAAGTCTGTGGCTTCTCATTCTCTTGAACTGTGCTTGGTTTTAAGATAAGAAAATAATGAATAATTTTGAGATAATAAGGGAGAACACTGATCCTGATCCCCAAAGCACACTGTAATTCCAATTTTATAGGACAGCCCTTGATGTAGTATAATTTTAGGCTCTGAGCAGATGGTTATTTTTAAATTGTCAAGTGAATTCTTATCCTTTATGATCAAACATTAAAGACAATAAATCTTGAAAGCTCAGTTTCCCCAAATTATAGCTTACATTCTGGTCATAGTCCAGCATATATCTTTAAGAATGATTTAGAAGATGCAGTAGAAACTCTCTAAAGCAATGTCATCCCTGGATCATACTTCCTTACTTGTCATAAGTTCTTAAACACTTGATCCCCAACACTTTCTGCTTGTGGTAATACTGTTGGGAACTTTATGAACTCCGAAGAAAACTTCTGATGCCTTGTGCAAGAGTTACTGCTTTATCAGGCCATTACTGTTGACAGATATTGAGATGAAAATCTAGAAGAAAAATCTAAAGTAGAGGAATCCTGAGAATATTGCAGAGCAGAAAGGAGATTTAGTAAGAGGAGGGGACTTTTTTGCTCCCCTTTGTTCCCAGAGAACAGTTGGAAGCTTGCAAGCAAACAGCTCTCTGAGATGTTCCCCTTCCCCACTACCTCCCAGTCTCCCAGTGAGTTCAAATGCTTGGTGATTTTTATTCTAGTAAATTTCAGAAAGGGAAAGGAGTCGGTGTAGGGTGGTCCGTGGCTCTTCAGACAGCTATTTGAGCACGAGAACCTACAGATTCTTGTGACTAAACAGTAAATAATTTTTTAAGTTCTTTCCAAAATACTTTACCCTGCTGCTACCGAACCCCAAGTTCAGCTGCCCCTCACTCAAAAGGCCAATCAATACTCAAGAGAGCGGTTTTGATTGGAAAGGAATATGAGCTTTATTCAGGAAGCTGGCCACCTGGGGAGAAGATGGGCTCTTGTGCAAAGGCTGACTCTGTGGTTTCTGCCTGTTCCAGGGATTTTTAAAGGGGTTGAGTGTCGGTAAGGGGGTACAGTGGTCTGTAACATTTCTTGACTAGGTGCAGCCTTCGTGGTAGCCAGCTAAAGACTATTTCAGTGCTGGGAGTTGTGTGAGGGCATCTGCTTCCTGTTTCCTTTTATTTTTTTAAATATATATATATATTTTTATTTTATAAAGAGAGAGCGAGCAAGTGGGAGAGGGGCAGAGGGAGAGAGAGAGTCTTAACCAGACTCTGTGCTCAGCTTAGAGCAAAACATAGGCCTCGATCCCACAACCCTGGGATCTTGACCTGAGTCAAAACTGAGTTGGACACTCAATTGAACGAGCCACCCAGGCATCCCTGCTTCATGTTTTGTGAAGGGCAGGAGTGCTCTCTTCTTTCTAGGAAGGAACCCAAAATCTATAGGTATACAGTGGAAGGTTAACCAATCACATTTGCTGAAGTTTAAATACTACTAGGTTAGTAGGAGAGGTGGGGGTAGCATCATTGCTGGCCTAGCTAATTAGAATATTTAAAATTGTAGCACTTGCAGGGTCAACTTTTTGGTATATACAATGAGTTGCTTTGTTTTGTTTCATTTTGTTTTGAGGTGGAGGGGATGCTTTGTTTTATTTTAAAACAAAAGTTGAGTGCAAATGCCCTCTGGGGTAGGTAAAGTCCTCCCTGTCATCAGCTGTCATTCACCACGACATGGATTTCCATCTGGGACCCAAAAGAGACTTAAGGGTTGATGAGTCATGTGAGTGTGTTTGAGTGTGCATGTGTATTTTTTGCATGTGGAGAGAGGATTCAAAAGGGATGTCTCAGTAGTGGGGCAAGAGAACCACTGAATGTTGAGGCGAAATATGCCAGACAAATACTTCTTACTTCATGATTTTTCTCATACCCTGGCTGCTCCTAGGGATCCTAAGAGTATCAGTTAAGGACTTTTTATTTTATTTTTGAGAGAGAGACAGAGAGTGAGCAGGTGAGGGATAGAGAGAAGGTGACAGAGGATCTGGAGCAGACTCTATGCTGATAACAGCAAGCCTGATGCGGGGCTTGAACTCATGAACCGTGAAATCATGACCTGAGCTGAAGGATACTCCACTCACTGAGCCACCCAGACGCCCCAGTTAAAGACTTTAATCTACGTACAAATTACCCAAGGATCCTGTTCGAAAGCATATTCTGATTCATTAAGTGGAGATGGAGGGGGAGGGCCTGAGATTCTACATTTCTAGCAAGCTCCTAAGAGATGCCATGGACCACATTTTGAGAAGCCAAGACCTAGCAAGGCCTGGAGTCCAGTACATTTCTAGGTGGACCGGCTAAGGGCTGATTCGAACTCTGAGGAAGCCCTGGAACTGACCAGCTGCCCTGGGGGACAGGCACCTGGTCACTACTGCCTATGAGGGGGTCCCGGACACCCTACTAGGCCTGCTGCAGATAGGACACACTCAGGAAGGGATGGAGTTGCTGTAGGCCAGCAGCTTAACCCCTTACAACACGATGGCAAATGCAGTGGTCTGAAAACTGCTTGGCATCTTTCTGTCAAATTCTACATTTGAGTTTTGGGAAATAGAGTGGTTATTGTTGTTGTTGTTGTTGTTAAGTTTTAGCCACTCCTTTCTACACCCCCTGTGTCTTATTTTGACCAAGGAGAAGTTTCTACTTTACAAGACAGTCTGAAACCAGAAGGACTTTTTCTTTTTTCTTTTCTTTTTTTCCTTTTTTTTTTTTTGGCTGCACATTTCATCTCGAAAACTGCATCGTTTTTGTTAAAGAGCAAAGAGTTCATTTCAAAATACAGATCTTGCAGTCACAACTCCCTCATACCCCACAAGGTTGTGTGTATCAAGAACCTCTCAGATTATAAAGACATGTGGTGTTGAAATAGGGCAGAATAACATCTTAACATAGAAATGTTCAATAAATGAAAAAAAAAAAAAACGCTTCCTATGGTAGAAATCCAGGATTGAGCATAACCTATCAACATCTTCTTTTCCAGGAGTCAACAAACTTCTTGTTTTTATCTGCCCGGTAGTAAATATTTTATGCTTTGTGGACCATATGGTCTCTATCACAACTACTCAGCTCTACCATTGTAGTACAAAAGCAGTCATAGTAGACATTACATAAACAAATGGACATGACTGTATTCCAATAAAACTTTATTTACTAACACAGGCAGTGGTTGGGATTTGACTTGTGGGCCATAGTTTGCCAACTTCTGTTCTAATCAGTCTACAGAGAAAAACACCTGGACATTGTTTTTCCAGGTCCATTCTCTATCTTATTAAGGCCACTACTTTGGAAGATGATGGTTATTATGTGTCCGCAGTCAGATATGTACTTAAAGTTGGTCTTCTCTCTTTCAGTATTAAGAAGGAATCTATATGCATTCATTCATCCACCTGCATTTGCCAGGAATCAGAAATACAGAGATTTCTCAATCACTTCTTTGAGGGGTATACTGACGATGTAGAGCAATGAGGCTTTTGCTAGGGTAAACATTGAGGGCTATGAGCACATCACAAGGATCCCTAGAGTCCTTCAAGTTTTAGAAGGTGCATACAAGGCAGTTTGTGGTGAGAAAGTGTGAGGAAACAGCATATACAAAAAGAAAGAGTCCACGGAGATCAGGTTGAAATATCACCTGTTGGACTGAGGGTATGATTTGAGATGTAGAAGATGACAGGCAGCATCAGGAAATGAAGTGGGATTGTAAAGGGGCGAGGAAAATAATGATCAGATGTGTATGTCGTGCTGAAGTGTTCAAATATGTTTTAGATGGTACCAGACTATTTGTATCCTCTCCATGTGACTTTCTCCCTACGCTGCACCTACCTCCTCAGAGATTAATAGCAAGGGATCATTTTTTTTTAATGTTTTTATTTATTTCTAGGAGAGAGAGAGAGACAGCATGAGCAGGGGGAGTGTCAGAGAGAGAGGGAGTCACAGACTCTGAAACAGGCTCCAGGCTCTGAGCTGGCAGCCAGCACAGAGCCCGACGCGGGGCTCGAACCCACGAACCGCGAGATCATGACCCAAGCGAAAGTCGGACGCTTAACCGACTAAGCCACCCAGGCACCCCAAGGGATCATTTATATGATAAGATAACAGGTCAGATCCAACTGTGAATATCACGTACAGCCAACAGCAATAACAACACTGCCAACATTAAAAATAAAACAGAGATACATCTTGATTACAAAAACACATTCTTTCCAACACTCTATGTGCTGTCAGGTGCCATAACTTATATACGCTTTTCCCTTAAAATAAATTACAGAATAGAACCAATAGTATAATTTATAATTAAGTATCCAGATAATTGACACATTACACCAAATGTCATTATATCTAGAAAATCACAAAATCCCCTACCCTTAAAATCATTGAACCATATTTAACCCAGACATTCCTAAAGTTAATAGATCCTTCTGGCATTTGTGAATTGGTTTCTACTGCTAATAGGACTATTTTACCATTCAATAATAGAAGCTTAAGGAATTAGCATAAAGTGTATAATATGATAAAACAATGTATTATAGGCTCTCTTTCATCCCTACCTGCCCCCACACACATCAAGAAAATTTATAGCCAAATAAAAATTTTGTGACAAAAATAAGCATTTTAGAAAAAGCAATAATAATGCCATCAATCTTGCAGTTGGAGCATTTCATCATTGTTTCTCTTGCCAATAATATTTTGCAGGCTTGTGGATTTGTAAACGGTATGATTATTTTTCAAACAGTTCAAGATACTAGCTGTTTTAATTATTTTACCAGGTCTTGGTTAAATGTTATTTCCTCCAGGAAGCTTCCCCTGACCTCCCAATCTCGGTTGGTACCCTTTGTTTGCATCCCTGTGGCACCCTGCACAATGCCTGGCCACCTGCCTGTTATCTAGGACTATGGTCCTTGAACACAGCCCAATGCCTTTGTCATTCACCGCTACATCCCACAGCGTTGCATGTAATAGGCCTTCATTAATGAATTGTTGGATGAGTAGACAAAGTTGTGGGGGAAATTAAGTCAATACATCATCTTTATGTTATAATATTTTGGTCATTATTAATATCCATTTCATCCTTTCAGGCTCCATGAAACCTCCAGCAGACCCTCTGCCTAATGTTGTCACATCCACCCTTGCCACCCGAACTTCTCCGGCCAACAGCGTATCTCCTACAAGTAAGAATGTTGTCACACGGCCTTCCTTTTTTTTAAAATTATTTTTTAAAATTTGAGTATAGTTGACACACAATGTTACATTAGCTCCAGGTGTACAACATAGTATTTTAACTTCTAGGTGTGTTGTGCTCACCACAACTATAACCACCGTCTGTCTCCATACAACATTGTTAAACTACCACTGACTATATTCTCTATGCTATGCCTTTCATCCCCATGGCTTACCCCTTTCATAACTAGAAACGTGTGTCTTCCCCTTCCCTTCATCCATTGTGTCCATCCCCACTCTCCTTTCCCCTCTGGCAACCATCAGTTTGTTCTCTGTATCTATAGATTTGATTCTTCTTGCTTGTTTATTTGTGCTTGTTTTTAGACTCCACATATAAGTGAAATCATGTGATATTTGTCTTTTCCTGTCTGACTCACTTCATGTAGCATAATACCCTCTATCCATGTTCCTGCAGGTAAGCACAAACTCATCCTTTTTTTTAAGGATGCATAATATTCCATTTTCCTTATCCATTCATGTATTGATATACCCTTGGGTTGCTTTCGTATCTTGGCTATTGTAAATAATGCTGCAATAAACATAGGGGTGCATAGATCTTTTTGAATTAGTATTTTCATTTTCTTTGGGTCAATACCCAGTGGTAAAGTTATTGGATCATGTGATATTTCTATTCTTAATTTTTTCTTCACACTATTTTTCCACAGTGGCTGTACCAATTTACATTCTTGCCATCAGTAAATGAGAGTTCCTTTTTCTCCACGTCTTCTCCAGCACTTTGTATTTCTTGTCTCTTTTATTTTGCCACTCTGACAGGAGTAACGTGATATCTCTTTGTAGTTTTGATTTGCGTTTCCCTAATGGTTAGTGATATTGGGCATCTTTTCATCTGTCTGTTGGCCCTCTGTATGTCTTCTGCAGAAAAAAAATGTCTATTCAGTTTCTCTGCCCATTTTTTTAAATCAGACTTTTTGTTTTTTGCTGTTGAGTTGTATACGTTCTTTATTTCATTTTTTAAGCTTTTATTTTAATTCCAGTTAGTTAACATACAGTGTTATATTAGTTTCAGATGTACAATATAGTGATTCAACTATTCCATACATCACCTGGTGCTCATAATGACAAGTTCCTTAATCCCCATCACTTATTTACCTATTTCCCCACCCACCTCCTTTCTGGTAACCATCAGTTTGTTCTCTATAGTCAAGAATCTGTTTCTTGATTTTTCTCGCTCTCTTTTTTACCTTTGCTCATTGTTTTGTTTCTTCATATGAGTGAGATCATATGGTATTTGTCTTTCTCTGACTGACTTCTTTTACTTAGCATTGCACCCTCTAGCTACATCTATGTTGTTGCAAATGGCAAGATTTCATTCTTTATTATGGTTGAATAATATTCCATTGTATATATGTACACTATATCTTCTTTAACCATTCATCCATCAATGGACAGTTGGCCTGCTTCCATAGTTTGGCTATTATAAATAAGACTACAAACATGTATGAATCCCTTTGAATTAGTGTTTTTGTGTTCTTTGGTAAATACCCAGTAGTACAATTACTGGACTGTAGGGTAGTTCTATTTTTGATTTAGTGAGGAGTTTCCATACTGTTTTCCACAGTGGCTGCATCAGTTTGCGTTCCCACTAACAGTACATGAGGGCTTCCTTTTTCTCCACATCCTTGCCAATGCTTGTTGTTTCTTGTTTTTGTTTTTAGCCATTCTGATAGGTATAAGGTAATATCTCATTAGAGTTTTGATTTGCATTTCCTTAGTGATATAATGAATAATGTTGAGCATGTTTTCATTAATCTATTGTCCATCTGGATGCCTTCTTTGAAGAAATGTCTGTTCACGTCTTTTGCCCATTTTTTAATTGGATTTTTGTTTTTTGAGTTTGAGTTGTATGAACTCTTAACATATTTTGATTATTAACCTCTTAATGGCTATATCATTTGCACGTATCTTCTCCCATTCAGTAGATTGACTTTTTGTTTTGTTGATGATTTTGTTTGTTGTGCAAAAGCTTTTTATTTTCATGTAGTCCCAAGGTTTGTTTTTGCTTTCGTTTCCTTTGCCTTAGAAAACATCTAGAAAAATGTTGCTGCAGCCAGTGTCAGAGAAATCACTGCCTGTGTTCTCTTCTAGGCTTTTTATGGTTTTAGGTCTCACATTTAGGCCTTCAATCTGTTTTGAATTTATTTTTGTGTATAATGTAAGAAAGTGGTTCAGTTTCATTCTTTTGTGTGTAGCTGTCCAGTTTTCTTAGCACCATATTAAAGAGATTTTTTTTCCCATTATATATTCTTGCCTTGTTTGTCATAGATTAATTGTCCATACAAGCATGGCTTTATTTCTGAGTTCTCTATTCTGTTCCTTAGGTCTATTTTTGTGCCAGTACCATACTGCTTTGATTACTATAGCTTTATAGTATATCTTGAAATCTGGAATTGTGATGTTTCCAGCTTTGTTCTTTCTCAAGATTGTTTTGGCTATTCAGGGTATTTTGTGATTGCAGGAAAATCTGAGTATTATTTGTTTTAGTCCTGTGAAAAATGATGTTGGTATTTTGCTAGGGATTTCATTGAATTTGTAAATTGCTTTGGGTAGAATGGACATAAAATGTTGTTGGTATTTTGATAATGATTGCATCAAATCTGTAGGTTGCTTTGAGTAACATGGACATTTTAACAGCATTAATCCTTCCTATCAATGAGCATGGAATACCTTTCTGTTTGTTTGTGCCATCTTCAATTTTTTTCATCAATGTTTTATGGTTTTCAGAGTATGGGTCTTTTATCTTCTTAGTTAAGTTGATTCTTTGGGGGATTCTGGATGCAATTATAAATGGAATTATTTCTTAATTTCTCTTTCTGAGACTTTTTCATTAGTGTTAGAAAAACTACTGATTTCTAGGTATTGATTTTGTATCCTGCAACTTTATTGAATTCATTTATTATTTCTAGTAGCTTCTTAATGGAGTCTTTAGGATTTTGTATATTTAGTAGCATGTCATCTGCAACTGGTGACTATACTGTTTACTTTCCATGAGATATCAGCCCTTTAACCAAGCAGATTGATAAAGAAACATTTTAGAAAATTTGTATGATTCATGTTCCTTTATTATCTATAACATTTTAGGTAAGCATAGTAAGGACTATTCTCACGGCTTTAAAGAATTAACATAGCTTCCAAAGCCCTTCACTTGAAGCCTTGGCAAAATTAGGGTCAAGAAATATGCAGTGAGAAATTTAAATTCTGTATTTATTATTAAATACGTTAATAAATTGACAGTCTTCTTCTACAACTGTGTTCTCAGTGGGGTGTTTAAGAAATTGGTTATTAATGGGCACCCTGTGGACCAGATGTAGTTAGACAGTTTTAAATTTAAATTTGTTCTGGTGCAAATTAATTTTGACAAAGTTGGCTGGTGAGGACTAAGAATTCAGCCTCCCAGTGGCATTATTAATAATGGAGGCCAGGCTGGGTCAGTGTTACTATGGCAAAGGGATAGCAGTGACTTTCAGAAGGTCGTATTGATGCAAACAAATCATAAATTCCCATGACTGTGGCCTTTGTGTTTAACAAGGAACCACAGTTACCGTCTTTAATACGAAAAATGTATATTCAATGTAGAGGAGAAGTACAGTTCTCATTTCTTATTTAATTAAAACTATCAATTTTAGCTCAAAATGAGAACTGAAATGGAAATAAAACAAAAGCAGTCAGTAAAAATGAACAATTCTTTCAGCCTGGAGACTTTTGGCATATAGCCTGCAGTCACTGTCATAGGTTGATACCTCTCAGAAAATGAAGCATGTGGCGGGGTAAGAAATGTCTGCAAATCACCCATCAGAAATTTTACATCCATCTGACTTTTCCTAGTTCTTAATGTTTTGCAATTTTATTTGAAGCTGCTTTTTCTTCCACTTCTAACTCATCATTCAGCAATAAACTGTAGTAGATTATGTGATTCTTTACTCAACAAATATTAGCATATTCAAATATAATACCTTAAATTTCTTTAGAACTCCACATATTAGGCAGTTATCCAGTGCCCCATAACAACTTACCCCCCAAATTAGCCCCCTATAGAAAAGCATATATTTTCTTACATGATTTTAGGGTCAGAAATCCAGGAGCAGCTAAGCTGAGTGGTCTGGCTCATGTGTTTTCATGGGATTATCGTTAAGCAGGGTTGTCAGGGGCTTCAGTTATCTGAAGGCTTGACTGGGGCTGAGGGTTCTGTTTTCAAGTTGCAGCCTGTTGTCAGAAGGCCCTAGTTCCTCACCACACGGTTTTCCTCCATAAGGTTTCTCACATTATGGCAGCAGCCCTCCCTCAGATCAAGTAACAAGTACTCTACTTGAGAAATAGAGTAACCAAGACGAAAGCCACACTGCCTTTTTATTGCACAGCATCATTTTGCTTTATTGTATCTGTTAGAAGCGAGTCACTAAGTCCAGCTCATACTCAAGAGGAAGAGACTTAGGCTCCACTTCTTGAGGGAAGAGTATCAAAGAATTTGTAGACAGATTAAAACCACCATGTCCTGTCATGTAGAAAATGCTTGCACATAAAATGCAATGTGGTTTGATCTTTATTATGAGAGGTAGACAGAGAAAGCATCATTGTCCCCATTTTCCAGATGAAGACACCAAGATGCTGAGAGCTTACATGATCACACAGCTAGTAAGTGGCAAAGTTAATATTCATACCAAAGTCTTCTGAACTAAATCTAGTTCTATCCACATTTGATACCAGGTTGTCTCCAACTGGTCTGAACACTTCCTGAGGACGGGGAATATATGCTTAGCAAGAGTAGACACACACAATTGGGGCACCTGGGTGGCTCAGTCGGTTGAGCGTCCACTTTGGCTCGGGTCATGATCTCACGGTATGTGGGTTGGAGCCCCGCATCGGGGTCTGTGCTGACGGCCAGCTCAGAGCCTGAAGCCTATTTCAGATTCTGTATCTCCCTCTCTCTCTGACC